GAAAAGAAACACAAAGTAAAAGAAGTATAGGTAAGAATTGTTGCTTACCTGGTCCTGTAAAAACTTCCATTAAGCTCCCATTAGACTTCAAAAATCACTTAATTTACTGTCTTTAAAAGGACGACTACGATCGTACTTCGTAGTTACAAAGATTTGAAAATGATATTTTTTCGTKAAAACAAAATTTCAAAATACAAAATCGAGAAAGAAGGCTTGCAGGTACCTCTGAAATATATTTGCTTTCAAAAATAGTTTGTGTTTAGTGAAAAAATAAAGGTTTTTTTCTCATGGCGAACAATTTTAAATTCGGCGCCATTTTGGTTGCTAGCGAAAGACGTGCATAGCAACATGGATTGGCCGAGTAGTGGCCTGAAACCTAATGTCCACAACGAAACAGCCGTGTCTAGGAGGCAGTAGCCACAATAAATCAACAAAGAATGGGCTTCCTGTGGTCCACGTGTGACAGCTGGATCAATTTTGCTGGTCAGCGGCTTTCACTACTAGATTACTAGAAAAGAGTAACTCCAAGATGAACTTAGGAAAATAACGAGGCAGTTTTTTTAAGCTAATATCTTCGATAAAGTTACAAGAATAATGTTTTAGTATGTTACTATATTCAAAGACTTCATTGAGGACGGAATTGAAGACGAAAAGTGGATACTTCTGGGCCTAAATGTATCAATATGACAGTTGTATCGAACTGCAGATGATTACTCGTTTTCAAAGGTATGTTTTTTGTCTAGATTATTTGGATTTCTTTTTGGTTGTAGGCAAAATATGAACAAATAATCATTGTGATTTGTTCATCGATTGATGTTTGTGCATCGTGCAAATAATTTACAGTTATTTATTTCGAGTGAACTTGTCGTTTTATTTTATGACAGTATACGACATTTTACCTTACAGTTAAGGCATGTTGTGATATCAGTCTTTCGATTTCAATACTGTTTTCTAAAACCATATTTTACAATTTGTGAGGTTAAAATATGTTTTTAAAATATATTAGATCAGTTTAAACAGTGAATTTATATACATTTAAAGATAAATCGCATTCAAAACTATTTTCACCTTTTTGACGTAATACATTAAATCTCAAAAATACTAAAAGTTTGTCCACCAGTTCACTTCTCAAAACCTGCTGGCCGCAAAATATTATTTTAATTTCTGTAAGAACTACCTTTTCTCTCTTCAGTACTCAAATATTATAGTCCTACGAAGTCTAACTTTTGAGTTTTGATTTTTTTTCCTAAGCCATATTTTAGCCAACTGGCCAAAATCGATTATCGATGGTCGGTAAAATTAAAATATCTAGATATAAATAAGTTCATATTTAACTTTAAGGCTACTTATCTTTGCATAAGATACATATCTACTATAACATGGAAGGATTTAGTATTGTGATCATTTGTTATGGATTAACGAATTTTTAAACATCGCCCAAATTTCATGAATGAAAAGTAGTCAAAATCACTAATTTGGCCCCCAAGGGGACCCCCCTGAAACTTTGCAAAAAAGCGCCGAGACACGAAACAAAATGTGTTTTGGAAATAACCTTGAAAGGGCAAACTCACACACAAAGTTTGAAAAAAATCTTTTTTTTCACCCAAAATGGTTATGAGGTTCTTACAGAGACAGCCTCTTAAAAAGTTAGGACCCTCCCCATGTTTCCAACCCCCCACCCCCTGCTAATTTAGTGACAAGTTTCTTAAATAAGTGTTCCGAAGTCCTGAAATACACATAGAATAGGAATAGAACAGAAAAGCGACTTGATAAGCTCGAGCTACCCGCACATTACGCAACACATTGCTCTCTCCAAGAGCGTCCCGTTCAGAGTAGATTATAAAATAAATAAGATATAACGCGCGCTCTAATTGGTCAATTACCATTCCGTATATAACTCGACATAGATCGTGAGGAAATGACGTCAGCTGCGCGCGCGATGTTCTGTTTGTTTCTTATGTCTTTTATTATCTCTTCATGAATTAAGGGTCGGTTATATCTTAGTTACGTGCTCGTGCTTCTCCTAGCACTTCTCGAGGACTCACGCAATTTCCCAAGTGCTTGTATAACTCAACATAGCACAAGCAAGGGGAGTTTTCTATCTGTTCATTAAAACTTAAACAATGCTCCTAAAGGACACAATTCAACGAATACGGAAAGTACTCTGTTTTGACAACGAACGAGACACGCCTGAAATTTTCCCCTAATTTCTATAGTACTAGTAGGGGATTCCCCAGCTGAATGCATGCAGTTCGTCAGGGTATTTTTTTTTTTTTTTTTCGTTTAAAAAAAACTATTAAAATGAAACTGAAGATCGAAAATGATTCTTAAGTTCGAATTTTTCATACAATGCTATATGATATTATTTTACTTTCTAAATCTTTGAGAATCTTTTATTTTCAATATCATTCTTCGAAAGATCCTAACTCGGAACTTGGCTATGTTCTCGATTTTGTCTAGTTGAGGGATCTTTAAAATACGACAAATAAAAAGATACGAGAGTCGAGGGAAACTGTGGTTTGTTTTATCACTGATTTATAGTATTTTTACTCAACATTCAGAATAAAGAGAAAATCATGACGGGAATATATTTATAGTAGTTTGGTCTTCCTGTGTGACATTCAGAATAAAGAGAAAATCGTGACGGGAATATATTTATAGTAGTTTGGTGTTCCTGTGTTACTAAAAATAGAATTGACGTACTACTGAATCATGCCAAAGAGTATAAACTTATGAGTCGCATTCTAATTCATATAATTTTTGTGTCAGCATTTCGGTCAGTTCAGTTTGGAAACATTTGTAGAGCTAAATTCCTTCTGAGTTTTTATTTTTGGTAAAGTTTTATCTTCATTTTATACTTTTTATTGACGATTTAATGACGATGGTGGCTGCACAAGTAATCTTGCCCTACAAACGTTCTCGTAAACTCAATTTTCCCAAGTCCATCAGTTCTTCCTTGAAGTGTGAAATCTGCGAAGATCTTCTTAATAAACCCAAGCAATCTAGTTGTGGACACCGATTCTGTCAGGACTGCTATGAACAACTGGTAAAGTAAGTATGAAAACTTTGTTTAGTAATATAAATATTCACGGCAACCCAGAAATTCGGGAGAACTGATGAAACATCGAGACACGATCAGAACTAACAGTTGAATTAATCTTACAGTTAGAAAATTTCATATCTCAATAAAACCTAAACTGTTAAAAAAACGTCTGCTTAATAATATCCAAGATTTATTTTTTTCAATATCTACTTCACTGAAGTTAAGTTGAACCAAGTTCGATCGAGTTGGTTCTGGAATTATAGTACGTGACACCTCGGTATGACGCTCATTATTTCACAACTTATTTACATACATGTAACGCTGTCATTCAGACCGTATCAGTCAACGCTTTAACGCATGAAACTTTCCTATGAATGAGGGGTTTTCCCCCTTCGGATGTCTGAATTTTCCCTAACAACAGGTAATATAACTTTCGAAAGAGATGGTAAAAACACTTAAGAGCCGGATATTTTTAGCTTCAGTATCTACATGTTGCTCACAAGAATCAAACATTTTCCGTTTTTCAGGGATTCTTCAGGAGCTGCAAGTTGTCCAGTCGATGGGAATGAACTAACATCTGAAAATGTATTCCGCGATCGATACTGTGAGAGAGATATTCTGAACCTAGATTGTTACTGCTACAACTATGAAAAAGGCTGCAGATGGCTTGGTCAACTACACGATTTAGAGGTTTGTAATTCTTTTAAAATCATAATTGGGGAAACCTTATATTGACGTGACGTGTTATAAGCTTGTGCCAGCGAGAGACAGTGTGACAGTGCGACTTCGAGGTTATCTCACCGATGATACATTGCTGGGGTATCTAGACTAAGGACTTTAATACCGGAAGTCGTTAAGGGTATGAGGGAATAATTTTAAATAGAGATAAACAAGAATTTACGAGAATAATTCTTCCCGCGGATGTGATGATGCTAAAAAAACAAATTTAATGCAGAAATATTTACTTTGTAATAGCAAGGGGACTCGCTGTCTGGAAATGTCTTATTTTCCTGCTATAGGGACGGAGAGAGACCCCTCTCGTTAATGCTATTAGTTCTGATTTAAGTATTGTTTTTATAATACAGAAGCATGAGGAGAAGTGCGAATATTCACTCAAGCAATGTCCCAATCCTGGCTGTAATGAAAAAATAGAAAGAAGACATCTGGATGATCACGTGAAAAACACGTGCAACTTTAGACTGATCATGTGCAAGAACTGTGGTGCAAACGTGATTCATAGCAATGAAAAGGTAAGATGAACTTTCAAGTATTTGTCTATATTTTTTTGATATTCCAAAGGAGGTGACTAGTCACACCACCTGGCCCCACCTTGACCTACCCCTTGCTCCCAGATCAGAGTTCTGGTGTCCATTATAATGCTGTTATTTTTAAAAATTAAAAAATATATATTCTTTCTTGACAGCTGCACAATGAAAAATGTCCAAAGGTTGAGGTCAAGTGTACCAATGGATGTGGTGCAATGATTGCACGAGGAGATCTTGAGGAACACGTTACAAAACAATGCCTCAATGCACCGGTGGCCTGCGCATTGGAACAAGGTGGCTGTCATTTCAAAGTGAGTATAAAATGTCTCTCCTTCTGGAGATATCCATGAAAATAAGAAAGAAAACATGCACATTAGGCTGCTTTCATAATGTATGGCAGATTGGGGGCAGGTGAAATTTAGGGGGTTTCGAAAAAAAATTTCAGAAAATTGGGGGGGATGCAAAATTTTTAGAAGAAGGTACGAGAGATTGCCCAGGGGGATAGTTTATTCTTTGGGGGACTTAAAGAAAAGTTCTTACGAATTTTTTTGTCATTAAAGATTTTACCTGCCCCCCCCCCCCCCCCCCCCCCCCCCTCAACCAAAGGGTTTGCCGGATTCTACTTTTAAAAAAGTGCAAAAAAGGTTTTACTCACGCAATTTTTCCTTTCGCTATAGTAGCAAAGAAACGGTAGCAAAAGTATGGTGGGTGGGGGGGAGGGGGGACGAAGAAATTTATCGATAAAAAAGCTCTTCTGCTTTTCAAAATACTAAAATTTCCGATTCCCCAGCAACAATAATGAAACTTTAAACAACTGAGAAATATTTAATTTTTGATGACATTACGCTTCATATAGTTACAAATATCATCAATCGGTTCAGTTCATGTTCTCCATCTAAATTACTCTTTCGTTTAGTTACTAACCTTTATTTTGTTTGTTATTCCTAAAGGGATCGCGAGGAGATGTCGAAGAACACGAGTCTACAGCAATAACACAACACATTCAAATACTAGGCGACCAGCAGAAGGAATATTCTGAAAATATGCAGCAATTGAATGATAAAATCAAGAAGATGGAGTCTGAGAAAGAATATCTTGAATCACAAATGATAGAAAGCAGAGAAGCCTTAGCATATACCAAACAAGACCTGCAGACCCAGGGGACAAAGATGGGGATCCTAGAAAAGAACATCACGAAACAAAAAGAAGAACTGGTAAGAATAAAAGAAATCCTAGATAATATTCAACATGAAAGAGGCTCGGATACCGTAATAGAGTCTCAAATTGGGGAGATTATCTCGCTCTTAGAGAGTCAAGGAAAACGAATATCAGATCTTGAAGGACAATTGATTCAAGATCGAGAGACGTCTGGACTGGGTACTAGCTATCTTGCTAAGAACTCGATGAGCAGCGGCAGACGGCTCGAGAGGAATGAGCATATTTGCGCTCTGAGTGAAGCTAGGATCAATCAACATGACATTAGACTACAAATGCTTGAAGCAACRTCATATGATGGGACATACATATGGAAAATAGATGAATGGCCCACGAGAGTAAGAGAAGCAAGGATAGGAAAAACTACCTCGATATACAGCCCTCCTTTCTATGTAGGGCGCTATGGGTACAAAGTATGTGGACGTCTCTACCCCTGTGGGGATGGCATTGGCAAAGACACTCACATTTCCTTGTTTTTCGTTGTGATGAAGGGGGAATTTGACGCTCTTTTACAATGGCCGTTTGGTCAAAAAGTTACTTTCAGACTTATTGATCCAAATAACTTGCAGGATGTAACGGATTCATTTCGTCCTGATCCGAAAAGTTCGAGCTTTCAAAGGCCCAAGAGCGCGATGAACATCGCTTCGGGAACGCCACAGTTTGTAAGCCAAAAGGATCTGATTAGTAGAGGATATGTTGTTGAAGGCACTCTGTATATCAAGATAACTGTAGACAGAACTGGCTTAAGAGAACTATGAGTTCAATCTTAGACATCTTAGTCATAAAAATTTAATTATATATATAGTTTTTTTATTTAAACATATAAATTGTCTCCAAGAGCTCTCATGCGAGCTCATCTAGGGAGATCACTTAATATAAATTTACAAAATTAGATAGGGTACTCAAAGTAATTAACAAAATAGCACATAAGAGATGAGGCGGTAAGCCGTGTGGGATGGGCTCGGAAATCGTATAAGGGCATGCGTAATAGGTAAATTACGAGCCTTATATGAAACGACTGAAGAAGAGGGCCAATGGGCCTTTCACAACTTCAAGTCGCGTAAAAATGAGCCAGCTCAACTAGAAACCGTGGACAGCTGTCTCGGCCTGTATTGGGCCTCGTCAGCACGAAAAAGTAGTACATGAAAGATGATAGTAGTAAAGCGTACAGATTTTTACAAAAATAATAGATAATCATTAAACTATAATTATACTATATATTTATTAGAATAATATATAATTATTAAACTATAATTACACTAAATATATATTAGAATAATATATTATTATTGTTATGGCCCTCATGATGATATAGATATATATTAGGCTATTTATTTATTCATATCCATACGGCTTATTATTTCAATTCATAAATAACTAATTTTGACACGTATATGTGTATGAGAATATATATGAAGTATACACCTATTTCAAAAAACGTTGTCGGTTGTATATCTAAAATGAGAAATCTGAGACCGATTGGAATTGTGGGGGACTGAGTGTTTTCTCGTTCAAAATTCAATACACACTTACCAAGATGGTTTGCCAGTGCAGGTCATCGCTCAAAGTTTGGACCCGTGCCCTGGCGATTCCGGTGCCATGCTCTAACCACTGAGCTACCGAGACTTCAAGGACACATGTGGGTTTATCGGGCCGATAGGAGATATGTGTATATGTATTTGAGATGTATATTAACAGTAATTTATATTGTATAAATAAACTTTCCTTGCTGCAAGATTATCAAAGAGCATTCATCTCTGGACGCCTGCGAGATAGCCAGTAAGGTAGCGGTGTGCTGTCGTTTAAGTTCACCAGTTTTTATCAACAACTGTTTCGATTTTGTCTTTACATTTCCATAGCAACCAACAACTTACCATAGCAACATAAAAACAAAAACAAACTCTTGGTGCTCATTAGAGCAAGCGGAAGTTTTATAGTGCTTTATGAAATACTTTTTGATATTTGCGCACGGATTAGTTGTCTCGTTTATATATATCAGAGAACAAAATGGCACAAAATAGTTCAAAAATATTTTTACTGGTACCCAATAAGCAATAGTACCCAGGGGTCTTCACGGCACTACCCAAGAGTCCTTTGAGGACATATGATACAGAGATCCCGTGTAAAGTCTGATTTATATTCAAGTGACAGTTGCCAATCAATGTCTAATTTATCAAAGTGATTGATAGGGGGTGGGGCTGCAAATCACGTGTCGGAAATTAATGTCTACGTATTTTCTGTTAGTTGCTGAAATTCAAGGCTCAGTGGAGTATTAGGAATTACTCGGGTGTATAAACTGACCAAGAAAGTTTAAGACGCCATGAAAAAAGATGTTTCTTTTATTTGTTTAGCTTCTTCTATTAGCTTAGCTTCTCAAAGCAGTACTCTAAAAAAGGAGCAAAAACGTGAGTAGGTATAATGTTTAGGTCACCCATCCAAGTGCTAATCTTCCTCAGACGAGCTTGACTCAGTATCTTGAACGACAACGATTTATCCACTGGACCACGGTTCCAGGTAAATCAGCATAACAATAGCCATAAAAACAATGCACCGAATAGACTAGACTTTTTAACATTATTTTTTCAACCGATTCCGTGCGTGGCAGAGATGCAAGGGATTAGCCGATATGGTCTGGGGGCCGGCTGGTCTCTCCCCTGATGCTTCGGCTAGAACATTTTCTTGCGTAATTCGTACACCCAAGGGCAGAAGGATTTAATCGCCGTCAGGTCCGAAGTTCATACGCCGCCTCAGCTCTACGGATGTCTCGGGGGTATGGCACAGTGGAATCGTTTTTTGTTTTGTTTTTTCTTTTGGTTCGAACCCCATGTTATGCAAAAAGATTTTTTCTAAATCCATTTTTTATTTGATTTAAATCTTCAACACTGATATCTACCTAGTCGAATGCTTAAGAGCTTGTATAAGTTATATCACACCTTACCAGTCATATAAGCAATATTGATCCGCGAAAAGTGTAGAGCTATGCTATCTTTCCTGGCAAAGTCTGCTGACAAGAACATTTACTGTACTTGGATCTCTATATCATATTCCCTCAAAGGACTAGTGGGTGGTGCCGTGAAGACTTCTTTTTATTATTGCGCAATTTCTGCATTTTCTGGCAGGGAAAATAAACAGCTACCCCAGTAAATAATAACAATAGCAAAGGATGGTAAAAAGATAAGAAAATTAATTGGTGACTCTGACTGAGAACATTAATTGGGATATTTGATTTTGTTGCGTCATGGCGCAAATAGAAATTTCCATGCAGTGTGACATGCATAACGCAAAACTGTTTATTTTATTTTATTTAGTATATTGACTCCGACGAWGGACTAGCGTCCGAAACGTCAGTAAGTTTTTTCATCTTTTCACGGTGTATAATTTACCATTTTATCATTGTTTCATTAGAAACACCGACGCAGCTCACACTAGTTTTTAGCTAGTTATCTCTTCTGTTTATTTTGTGGCCTAAAAAAGGTCAGAGAACCTGGAATTATTTTAATATTATGTGGAGAACGCCTTAAGGGAGAATATCGTCTTAGACGACTGAGCTAAACGAAAACATTCTTTTCTGTGAAACATTCCATTATCTTTTGACTAACGTTGCAAATTTCTTCAGCTGTACAAGGCCACTGTGGATGATACAGGCAACCCAGTGAACGCTTTAGGGGGTCTTGTTATAAGAGAAATATAAAACGGCTGATTAAGTCTCTGTACCCTGAGTCAGAGCTTTATAACACTCGAAAAGCATGCGGCGCATTTTTTATATATTTTTTTTAATAACTTTTTGTGAGTGTTTCCAATATTACATAAGCGTGTCTTTTAATGGCCTTTTACATAATCACAGTACCTTTTTCCCCGCGACTTTTGACTATGAAGGAAACATGTTGCTTGGCTACTATCTGGGCCATATAGATAAGTTTAAACAAACTTCAAATCATTTCTAATTTTCCTTTCCTTAATCAGAAATTTATATATTGTGGTCTTACATCTCATAGCAACAAAAATCGTTCGTGATTGGATACTGACAAGAAGAGTTCTGAATGGTTAGACCCTCACGTGTCTTGGGTTACCACATTAACGCCGGTCAGAAACTCATATAATGGGATTGAAACGCGTAACACTATAAATTCAGATGTTTAAATCAAAGGAGTTTTAATACCATATTTGGAATTATGAGTTTGGCTCCAAGATGGCCGCTTTGAGACCTTACTGAATCTTTTAATCAATCGTTTGATTGGAACATCCTTCTTTAATTTTAGGGATTTTTTGAAGCAAGACGGCGCGATTTTTAGTAGAGAAATTTGTCAAGAAAAAAATTGAATATTCTAGAGCATCATACGAAAGAAATGTGTGACTGTTACACGTTTCTGCTACAGTTCCGTCCCTTATAATACACACTCAACAAAATTACTCGATTCTGATTGGACAAGAGGAGTACAATTAAAACCCAAATTGTTGTATTCTGTAGAGTCCCAATTAAGTTGCTCAATTTTTTTGATTGTATTATAAACAAAAAATCGCACAATCTTCTCGTAAAGGGGAGTCCAATTTGAGAACTTTCAAAACATCACGAGCTGTATCTATAAATTCAGAATTGTTCTCGAGATCGTGCGATTTCCTTTACTAATCAACCAGAGACATTGAAGAGGACCACGAGTTTATCAGTTGAATTCACTATTTTCCATACATCGGTTCACTGGTCAAACACAAAGCGCTCAAGCGAGGCGCCAAGGTACTTTCAAAGGATTATTCAAATTTGAACCTTGCAACCTCGACTGAATGCTTTGTGTTTGATCAGTGAACCAATGTATGGAAAATGGTGAAATAGTCTCAAAGTTTTCTTCAATAATTGTATAAATTCACGTGGTTGAAAAAAATCTATCCGTAATGGATACTCCCACGAACGTTGCCATTCTAAATCTTACTGTATCCTCTATAAACAAAGTTGATCAGTTGATTTAGTTATTTGTAGACACGTGTTCAGCTCACATGTAGAATGATAATTTAGAATAACTAATACTAGACGAATGAACCAATCAAGTCAACGCACGACATGGCCGACGCTGTGATAGACCTAATTGAGATTATTGGTTCTCCCGCGCGCCCGACAAGAGCCAACGGCACAAAATAACGACAGACTGTTATATAATGCTATAAACACGAAATGCGACTTTTTTAAAATAATTTCAATCTCCTTTTTTACTATAAATCTAGTAGTCAAACTGTAAATAACTGATTCAAATAATTCTCAAAAGAAGAGCTAGCTAATTATGTCATTTCTGTGTAGGCTTTAACATAAGTCGTCCAATAAGCTGTAATTACGCTGTGATTTGGGTGGGTTCTTTAGATACACAAATCAGCCAATCAGAGTTATGTATTCTAATGGTTAAAATGGTAACGGAACCAAATAAGCCAAAATTGGGCAAAATAGTTCAAAAGAACTGGTGGTGCTAACGTATCTCCAGCTCTTAGTTCGGCCGGGTCAAGTATCGAGTTCTGGATTTTTCTCCCACAAAATCAGGAGGTAAGGCATTCAAGAGAGTGGCCGCAGTTATTCCTACGAGATCAAATTTTCCTTCTCCCATCCAGCGCCCACCAAATTTGGACCTTAGTGGCTTGCTCAGTCCTGAAACGATTTCAGTGAAGGAGATGGCACTGTTTTCTCCAACCCGAAAGCTCTTCGACTTCAGTCCTATAAAGTCTCCCATTACTTTTTGTGAGAATACATTCTTTGGATCGCATTTTAATTCCTCTTCAGTTCTTGAACAAGACAAACTGCAACAGCAACGACAACAGTGTAAAGTGGCAGGGGAACATTTAATGTATCAACAGCTCAACGACTTTAAATTATCCCCTAATACGAGCAACGAACAGAAAGAACGACCAAACAGTCTAGCCGGCCCTCCTATCATAAGAAACGCGCAGGAAGAGCAAGTGTTCCACCATGCTAATCATCTCCTCAGGTTCCCTTTATATGAGTCTAACATGGACAATGAAAACTCTAGATTGTATTCCAATTTTCCAGAGATTTCTAAGATTCCCGCTCATCTGACTAAGGATAAACAAAATTATTTGAAGGAAACAAGCGGTGTAAACAAGTGTCAAAAGCAGATCAAGCTGAACACATCACCAAAGCACAGATTAGCGGTAAATAAAAGCATGAGCTGCAGTAATACAGATGGAGCTCATACTTCGTCACAAGAGATGCGTCTCCTATCCTGTTCCCCCTTTCAGTGGATGGATGAAGAATGCAGTACTTCAAAGGAAGGTTGTACTGGGAGAAGCTTGATAGAAGACGCCAATACAACTGCAGTCCCTTCAGCAGGGCAAGCCATTAATAACAGATATTTAGACAGGATAGTAAACAAGAAAGCCATGAATACAGAGGAATACAAAGAGGAGTCGCCATTCTTACCTTTTGGGTCAAAATCAAAAGAAAAACCTTTATTACCTTGTCCAGTGTTTGAGACAGTCAACCAGCAAATTAAAGAAAGCTGCAGAAGTCGTACTCTTGGGTCTAGAATCAAGATTGTTGCTGGTGAACTAGAAATAGAAGATATAGAAGCTAAAGAAGAATTCTCTCAAGCCAAATGTGTGTTTGCACAGGACGATAAGGCACTACGAGAATTAAAACAACAATGTGGAATGGAAGTGCGACCTGGACGGTGCTCGGAGCCGCAGAAGCATCATCATCAGCTTCGTCAACTTCAACTGCAACATCAACAATATTCCTATAAACA